CCTAGTCAAGAGGAATCGGGCTATGGTTCCTAGAGATGATGTTCTTTTACAGTGGATTCTGTAAGAGTGTCCGTTGCACCAAGTGTAGGACATCGAGGACATGTGTTCTGGTAGAGACGCATTTATTTTAGCCTGGAATGAAGTCAGGTGTTGATAAGTATATGCATAGTTGTTAGACCGGCCAGGCAGTCACAATGGATTGTGACAAGCATGAAGGTCTCTACCATAGTTAACCTCAATGGAAGTGGGATAGCATTTTCTATGAGTTTCATAGTAGGCATTTCAAGGCAATGATGCTATCTAGGTTATTGTGGATTGTATGATGATGTTAGCTCACTTCTTCCTTGTGAAGATGAATGCTAAGGCTTTTGACCTTGCTCAGCTGTATTTCTCTATGGGCTGCCTAAGGATGTTGTAAGTGATTGGGATCCCACATTCACTTTGGTGTTTTGGCAGACGGTGTTCCAGAAGCTTGAGACAAAGTTGAGCATGAGCATCCACAGTCAGATGGACAAACAAAAGGAGTTAATTAGGTGCTGGAAGACATGCTGAGATCGTTTGTTGGTCATCTGAAGAGGCAAGGTATTTGGGAGAAGTACCTGCCTTTGTTAGAGTTTGCCCATAACTGTGCCTTCCATTTGGCTATTGAGATGGCTCTGTTTATGGCAATGTATGGCTTTCAACCTGCCTATTGGTATGAACTTCGCTTCTCTTAAGGTGCACCAGGCAAAGGAGCATCGTCAGCACAAGCAGTTTCAGGTTGGAGACAAGGTTTTCCTTCAGTTGTCTGAAGCTCAGTGAGCTCTTCAAGGTGGAGGTAGTTCTAAGTTGTCACCACAGTACTGTGGGCCTTGGATTATTCTCAAACGAGTTGGAGACCTTGCCTATCAACTAGACTTGCCTAGTGGTGTGAAGATTCATCCCGTCTTTTATGTAGGAAGTTGAAGGCGTGTTTGCATTCTGGTAATATCTTGGACCAGTCTGCGATCAAGATTCCAGAGATAGATGTTTGAAGATTGGCCATAGTTGTGTGTTATAGCAACGGCTAGTGCACATACATCGTAAGACTTGGAGAGAGTTACTTACTATTTTCATCTAGTGCCCAACTCCTCTAGTGGCTCTTACTTTCCTCCAATGCAACATATCTCCTCCCTCCAACACTCTGTTGAGTATAGGCTCTCTATGACATGATCCTAGGTGGCAGTAGTGCCACTTCATTGATCCAGGTGTAGGCTAGAGGTGTGTCTCTTCATCATGTATATAAATCAATGATATTATATACGATTATCCTTCGAGTCATCCACCATCGTAGCTTCCACTCTTCTTCTCTTCATGGTATCGGAGCCTTGAGGGCTTCAGATCCTGGAACGATGGCGCTGGCCGAGGAGGAGGCTAGTGAGGATGACGATGAGCCACCGGACGTGGCTGAGAGGCCAAGATTTGGCACTGTGCTGTACTGAGTGCCAAGATAACGGCACTAGCGAGCTGAGCAAGGTGCTAGGGCGTGATCGAGCAGAGACCGACCCGGAGGAGGTGCTGGCAGAGGCGCTGAGAGAGGGCTGGCGTGAGGCACTGGCCGAGCAGAGGTGAGCGCTGGGCACCCTGTAGGGTAGAGGCGCGAGACACCAAGGGCTGCAGGCAGAGGTGCGAGGGATTGGAGTGCTGGGGCACTGGTGGGGTGCTGTCCAGAGGCAAGCAGGCAGAGGCGATGCTGAATGCTGGGCTGTGAGAGGGCTCCATAGCAGAGGGAGAGAGGCTGATGAGGCTTGATTGAGGCTGAGACGATGGGAGCTTCAGCCAAGGACAATGTTTCTGAAAAGGGAGATTCTGAAAGGCAGCCATGGGACGATCCAGATTCACGACAGAGTGTTTGGATGCAGAGGGAGAGTGATCTCAGATTCATGTCATTGAGATCGAGAGGGAGTGTTGAGTATATGCTTTCTATGACATGATCCTATGTGGCAGTAGTGCCACTTCATTGATCCAGGTGTAGGCTAGAGGCGTGTCTCTTCATCATGTATATATATCTATGATATTATATATGATTATCCTTCGAGTCATCCACCATTGTAGCTTCTGCTCTTCTTCTCTTCACACTCTTCCTGTAGCAACTCTCCTCCATGTCCTCTAGTGCTCCTCCTGCAATAACTCTCTTCCACATTGTACTTTTGCCAATCCTACTCTTGGATTTTTCAGTTTTTTTTTTTGTTTTCATCAAATCGTTATTTCTCACCCTCTAGCTCCTCCAAAATCCTTTATGCATTGAGTCTCCTCCAGCTCCTCCAACACTCCTCCTATAGCAGCTCTCCAGCTCCTCCAGCACTTCTCCTGCAACAGCTCTCCTCCAACTCCTCTAGCACTCCTCCTACAACAGCTCTCCTCTAGCTCCTCTAGTAGATGGCTATGCCACGGCTAAGGCCAGCCAAGGTAGTGCTAGCCATGGCCGAGACCTTGTGCCACCATAGCTGTGCTTGCTATGGCCATTTGGTGGTGTAACGTTGGCCCTAGCTGTATGGTTATAGATACCACAGCCAAGGATAACATCATTGGCAATCAAGGTTGCCAGTGGTTGTGGTAAGCTTGGCAAAACATTATCTTTTATGTTGAGAAAGGACCAATTCGCACATTTATTTAGTGAAAAAAAACTTTAGCGAAAAATTGGGTTCGCACATTGAAAAAATTTGTGTTGCAAAGTAAACTTATAA